TTTGACGTCGAGAGTGATGGATGTAAACTACCGTTGGTCATTGTGTGGTTGCTGAATTCCAGTGATTTTGCTTAAATCTCTACGACCAACTAATCTTGAGTCCATGACATAATTTGAATAGGACAGCTCTGATGATCGAAGGGAAAAACATCTATCTAAAAACCATATTTACTGGCTCTACACACATAATTCCTTACATTTATCGGACAAGAGGCCTCAGCATAGTAGACAGTGTAAATCGCGACGATTCCCTCATATGTGATCGATGCTTGACGAACGTATTCGGGATGAGCTGGTACCAAAACTTTGCTAAATTTTCTTGCTGCTTTAATAGAAGCCTCCACCCCCAAACCTGCATTTATTTTGCTCATAATTTGCATAATTTGACTTTTTTTTTGCATTAATTTATCTCCTGTACACTTCTTGGTCATTTTATTTTAAGATTTTCTTTTGTTTCTTCATTTTTTCGCACTTTTTTGTTGAGAAATTGTAAAACATTGAACTTTTCAATGCTTTACAGTTTCTCTAGACGTTTCTAACTGTTTTTTTTAGGTAGAATGGATAATCTTAGCGACGGATTGAAGAAGTTCCGTGAGCGCCTGGAATTTGAGCGAGATCTCTTTCAAGAAGATGATTTGAATGGAAACAATGAGGGAAACAATGAGGGAAGCGATGAGGGGAGCGATGTTGATGCAGATTCGATTGCCAGCGCGGAGCTGGAGAAGAAAACGAAGCGGAAAGCGGTCGAAAACAAGAGGAAACTATAAAGGAGCTTTAAAGGAGCTTTGAAGGAACTTTAAAGGAGCTTTAAAGGAGCTTTGAAGGTGCTTTAAAGGGACTAAATAGGAACTATAAAGGAACTATAAAGGAGCTTTAAAGGAGCTCTAAAGGAGCTTTAAAGGAGCTTTAAAGGGACTAAATAGGAACTATAAAGGAGCTTTAAAGGAGCTCTAAAGGAACTATAAAGGAGCTATAAAGGAGCTTTAAAGGAGCTTTGAAGGAGCTTTAAAGGGACTAAATAGGAACTATAAAGGAGCTTTAAAGGAGCTTTAAACGAACTAAATAAGAAGCCTTAAAGGAATAATTTTTCAAGAGATACCAGGTAAAAATTAAAAGCCTCTGGAGGGCGGGGGGATAGAAGCCCCGGGGCTTCAATTACAGTTTTTACCGTAGTTTCTTTAGAATGTCAGATCTTATCTCGGATAAGTATCACTTATTGAATACGGTCCACTGTATTGTACGGTACAAGTACAATTATAACTGCTCACGTCTCTCCAATTTGTTGATCGGGCAACCATACATTGTTTAAGTTAACGAAAATCTTTTCCACCCCGCCAAACTCATCGGGAAACCAGGCCAACCGTCGGTCTCGCCAAATCTAAAAGAACAATGGTAATGGGAAATGCTAGCCTCAAATTACCATTTTCAAGTCACACGTGAAACAGAATAGCTGGTTCTCGGCATCCTGAAGGCTCATTGCTTTCAATTGATTCATTTTCACTCACCAAGGCAAACATTTTCAAATAGGCCAACTGAACGTCGACATCAAGCCTGGTGGATATGTTTTCTAAAAGTCTACATGAACGATAATTGGTCGAAAATTTACCAGCTGAGTGCCAAATCGGGGGAATCTGTTTGTTATAGGCCCTTTTGGTGAACAGCTCGTCAAAGAGAAGCATGGTATGGTTGAGGAAATCAGAGAACTCTTCTGAAAATGAGCAACAATAGGAATGAGAATTGAAGGAAGATGACTTATTAGTTGATGAATTGAAGGAAGATGACTTATTCGTTGATGAATTGAAAGAAGATGACTTATTAGTCGATGAATTGAAGGAAGATGACTTATTATGCTTTTATTAGTTTAACCAAGGCCTAAAAGGCTACAGACAACCCTGTTTGGTCCAATAAATCACGGTAAATCAAAAAAACCAATAAATTACGGAGTCTATTTATAGGTTTATTACATAGGCTTATTTCCTAGCAATCACTCTGATCACCAAAATCCTTACGTGTCTCTCCAAACTGGGTCAAATCGATCAGTTGATTGGCACTGGTTAAATATAAAAGGGAACAAATCAATACAATGACCCTCATTTGATAGGGAAAACTCTGCATACGCAAATGGTTCAAAGGAATCTCTTAAAAAAGAGTTTTCCCTTTTATGTTTTGAGCAAATAACCTTCTTTGCACTTCAAGTCAATTCAGCCAACTCTTAAAGAGAGAACTCTCAAATTACCCGGAAAAAAGCGTTTTTAATAGTGTGAAAGTTCAAGTTGAAGTAGGTTCGACCAAGCGTAGGCGGAGTTTCCAATTACTCTTGTTCTGTGATTTTGAGGGTGTAACCTGTGCTTTAGCGAAATGGTACCTTGCAATGGTTAGATGGAACTCCTTATGATTATCAACATGAATGGTGTGCAAATCCATGGGATCACGATAATGAGGCCGCCATTTATGTAAAAGCTTTGTTAATTTCCATTCATTTGAGACCTTGATGAACTTTCCGACCTCTGATGCAAGGTAGTTTTCAGGTTGTCAATACGGAGTCAAGGGGGGACAGTGAATGCAAGCCAAAGACATGGGAGCTTGATTATAATTTCCGAACAGACGATTACTATACTCCATAAGAAAAAGAGCTAACTGAGCTACAATCGATGAATAAATACATTTTTTGGTGGTTAACTGAAACTTCACGACAAGACAACTTTCGATCAGACTTTCAAGTCATCATTCAAGACTTTCAAGGCATGCAATTTAAATTTAAATTGTATAGCATTGTATGCTATCTCTAGGCATTCTTGTTATTGTATTTTTTTGAAGAATTTTCATGGAAGAATTCTTCAATGAAAAGACAGAAAAGAGAGAAAGAAAAAGACAAAAAAGCAGAAGAAAAAATTGAAGAAACAGCAGAAACATTTTGAAGGTGTAACCTGGTTACTGAGCTACATCTGGGCACTAGCCAGGTAGTCTTCAACATTTACAAAAATCATAACCATTTACGCAAATCATTTATTCCATTGAACACGATCATTTCACCGCCGCTTGCACGATAAACCATGACTCGATTCGGCACAAATTCAAGCCGGCTTTCACCTGAAATCGAAGCTTTTTTGAGGAAGAAAGTTGCAGGCAAACAAATCTCGAACTGAAGAAAACAAACTCTAATATGCCCATCCACTCTAATTTGCCCATCATGCCCCAATTTGAGCCCCATTGATTTCGCAAGATCCAATACCAGCACCTTCACCAGGATTTCGCAAGATCCAATACCAGCACCTTCACCAGGATTTCGCAAGATCCAATACCAGCTTCTTCACCTGGAATGACATTGTGTTTCAACTTTTTGACCATTCAAAAGGTGACCGAAAAGTCAAAGCTTATTTATTTTGGGAAGCAACTACTGCTTAGGGAAGAATTCTATTCAAATTGGATTCATTGATCTGTACCTAAATCGCAAAAAACTCGCCACAGAGGCGCAAAAAATTCGTGACAATCCAAATTTTCCCATATTTCCGTTGGAAATATAATAGTTGTTTTAAATCATTTCCCACAGTTTATTTAACTAACTAAAAGTCATTCAGAAATGTCGTTGGGCAAATTATTGCCAAGTGCCAAGTTTTCTCAGCATTTTTCTTTTTTGGTCAAGTACGCTGGCGATCATTAGTGTGTGAAAACCGAGGACTATAATTTTTAAAAACTCTCAAAAATTTGTCAAAAGATTGATTATACTATTGATTATTATAAAGAAATTGATTATTATAAAGAGATTGATTATTTAAATGAATACGAGATATGATCCATTCTATTATGAAGCTATTTCAACTGCAGAAGCTGAAGATGAGTCTACTGAATTGTACGCCTGGGAGTATGAAGACGAGAATTGGAGCTGGGAGACTTGTGCGGATTTTGTGAATATTTCCGAGTACTCTGCATCGTATTATGAAGGAGTTAACTATGGATGGAATGGTTTGCCGATTTGGTCGGATGTTAACGATTCGGTCAATTTGCCAGTGGCTGTTTTTATGATCTTGGTTAGTGGTTGGAAAAATAATGCTATTGAGCTCTTTGAAAAGCAAGACAATAGCAAGATTCATGCTATGATAGATGTTACAATTACTCATAGAATGACTAGTTTATAGCTGTTCAAACAAGTTAATGAAAGTTAATGAGTTAAGTTGCAAGTTAATGAAAAATCATGGAGAACTTCAGGTCCAGTAGGCTATCCGGAAAGTCTTCTTGTTCCCTTTCAGAACGAAACCGAAAAGACTTTCTGGAGAGCTTAATAAAAAGATCTGCACTGAGAAGCACGGTCTCGAAAATCTTTACTCGGTTGTAAAATACGCTACAAATGTAAGTTCTCAAGTAGACTTTTTTGCCGCTGACAGTGACTGATAGATTAAATAGATTTTTTTAGAGCGCTCTATCTCTCTAAATTTGGTTCCTTATCTCTCTGAATTTGGTTCCTTTTCTCTACAAATTTGGTTCCTTTTCTCTACAGATTTGGTTCCTTTTCTCTACAAATTTGGTTCCTTTTCTTTTTTTGTCAAAAACAAACAAAAAAAACAAGAAAAAACGAACAAAACAAACAAACAAAACAAAACAATGAATGAATATGAAACATATAACCACACTTCTACTAAAGTTTTTCACAATTCAAATCAATTTCACAGTTTAGTTGCATTTGTAGCCTTTGTAGTTTTTGGCTCCATCGGCTTGTGGGTTTCTACTACTCGATACTATGACACATTTCTTTTATAATATTTTTTGCATTTTGAGTGCAAACCATGATAAGTCATTGTAAGCACTATTCTATGATCAACTAACTTTCATGTGAGCCCTAAAAGCCCTAAAGCCACTTTGATGTGAGCCCTGCTTTAATGTATTTATGAATTCCTTTTATTGATTTTCGAAAATACATTGTAAACTTTTATTTCTCATTGCTCAACAACAATTTACAGGAAAACTACACCAAAATCGGCAACCCGGCGCGTCACAATTGTTCACACATCGATTAGGGCAACAGAGATCATCAGGTTGAAAGGGATTTCTGGTGAAGCTGGGTCGAATTGTCGGTCGACTACTTCTGTAGATTGGCCGTTGTGTAGTAGAGGGTCTTTCCTCTGAAAATAGATAGTCTCTTGTCTATCTGATTTTAAGGGTTTATAGCGGCACAGTGATGCTGCTATAGGTCTATTTCTAGCTCAAATTCTTCTTAGAAACCAGCTAGCTTGTAAAAATTGTCAACAAACCATCGAAATATTCATCCTCGAAGTCTCTATCTTCATCCTCAAAGTCTCCAGCTTCAAATGGACGCAATGTGGTGGTAAGTGGTGCATAGACTGGTCTTTCTTCCAGGTGCTCTAAACCACAAAGTAAAAAGATCATGACAAAACAATAAATCTGAACCAAAGTTAGCTTTTCAAGTTGGACCCAGGGGCCCAGTGGTTTACCAGTGTTTATTAATGTGAAAATCGTTATTAATGATTGATTGGTATTTGTAGAAATCATATAGTAATAGGTCAAGTCTACAGTAAAATTTTTAGATTAGATTGTAAGCATGACAAAACTCTTAAAACTTACCGCTCGCACCATTTGACGAGCTCGTACTCCTAGATATGACGAGACCCAGGATCAATAACAGAGCAAAGGCTAGAATAAAAAAATAAACGATCCTCCTGTAGATTTTGTCCTTCATAACAGCCTTGAGAATATATTGTGGAAAGATTCTCGAAAAACATCCAGATTTTTCTTTTTCTTCTTTTCGAAAACGAACTTCTTCTAGCATTGGCACAACTTCAGCTTGCTGTGGGTAGACGCTGAACGTGGAAATGGGTGGTGGAGTCAAACCCTCATGTTCATCTATTGCGACTTTGTCGATTCCATCGTTGAACCCGATCGGTCGAATACAGACGCTTTGATTATCAACAGGCTTCGGGGCAAAGAAATGGGGCGAGGCCATCTGGAAAGATTGGATTGGCCGATAATTAATGAATCAAAGAAAGGGGATTTTGTTGTAAAGTTTGTAGTTGGCCCTGAGTCTTTACCACTACAAGAGACAACAGGTAAACCTTATTTCAAAGCACTTGCATTGATTGGGCATGATTTCTCATTTCTTTTATTTACTACTTTTGTGCCAATCAGTGGAAAATTTTCAAATGAACATATTCATCATATTATGCTATATGGATTCGATAAAGGTTCAACTTCAAGCCTAGCTCTAGATCACATAACAAAAGTATATTAGGTTTCAATTAGGTTTTAATTCGATTAAGTTTCAATTAGGTTCCAATTCGGTTCCGAATAGGTTTCAATTCGATTCCGATTCGGTTCTATTTCCGCTTCGATTAGGTTCCAATTAGGCTCTATTTCCGCTCAATTCGGTTGCAATTCGGTTCCGAATAAGTTCTAATTCGGTTCCGAATAAGTTCCAATTAGGTTCCGATTCGCTTCCTATTCGGTTCCAATTCGGTTCCCATTAGGTTAGGATTCGACCCGTTGAAGTTGAAATTGACCAAATATTGGAGCTATTAAGCGAAAACATCCTGAAGACTACACGTGAACTTAGAAAAGACCCTGGTTTGAGTCATTCTACAGTAGAACATCATTTGACTAAATGGGATTATAGATCTATTTTGGGGCAATGGGTTCCTCATGCCTTAACTGACCCTATGAAAGGCCAGCGTCTCACTATTGCTGCAGCTCGGCTTTCACGATTTGACCACAAATACTTTTTATCCAGGCTTATTACAGGAGATAAAAAAGGGGCAACTTTCGGAGGCAAAGGTAATGAGTTGGACCCGGAGAAAAACCTTTTCCTGAGCCCAAACCTGAAACTCATCAAAAGACGTTTATGCTCTCAGTTTGGTGAGATCTTACTGGTGTAGCGTATTGGGTGTTACACCCAATACAAGCATTGGATACACAATACAGCAATCAACTGAAGAATCTGGCCAAAGCTCTCGAGACAAAAAGACCAGATCTGTAAAAGGTCATATTGTAGCATGCCCGCCCACAAACTGCTAAACTGACTCGCTCTACAATCAAGAGCCTGGGCTGGGAACTTCTACCCCACCCAGCATATTCCACAGATCTAGCTCCATCAGATTGCCATTTATTTCGGTCAATGGAAAATACGGAGAGCATTTTGAAGATGAAAAAGACGCCAAAAGATGATTGCAGAACTACTTTGACTCAAAATCAAAGATTTTTTACAAGAGAGGAATTTGACTTCTACCAGTAAAATGGGCAGTTTATTGAAAAAGATGGAAACGATTTTGATTGATTTAGATGGCTTTATTGAATAAATATTTCTGCTTAAACTTAACTCACTACTTATCGGCCAACCCAATAACTGTTCTTTCTGAGACCTGAACCCATGATATGAGTCCTATTCACTGGAGGCTTGCACATGAACTGATAGCTCAAGTAGAGTGCTCAGTCCTTGATCCAGATCTAGAGAGATCGTGATTCAAAAGCTTCCTGGTGAAAAATCAATTAATAATCCTCTTTTATTCCTTTTTCTATGCTTCAACTATAAATGTACCATAAATTTTTAAACTTGCCTCATTCAACGCACGCAATTGCTGATAAACATCGCTAGCCGTCGGTCGGCTGCTCTGCTTAAAACGCGTGCATTCCTCCACGATCTTCTTGATTTCCGAGCCACACAGAGGAGGTGGTTGAACATTTTTCAATTTTTTCTTCTTAACATCATTGGAGAATACTTCTAAGTTAAATCCTCCATTAGTTGCTCGGTATTGCTCGATTGTACTCCAGACTCTTCTAAACAAAACTCTTCAGTTTGATATGTTTGAAATAATATGTATTTTTTTAATCTTCAATTCTTTTTATGCTTTATACTTTTTGATTCTTTAGTTTTCTTAGAGTATTCAGATGAACTATCGATTGCTACTGACCTCCTTTCAATCATCTCCCACATCACCAGTCCCATCGAATAAACATCGTTTTTATGGGAAATCTGAAGGCATAGGTGAGTAAAAGATAAGCGAAAGTTAAACCTTTTTGCCATTTTCCAACGGATTCATGTATCGTTCCGTGCCAATCAGTGTCCCAGTCGTTTGGCTGAACCGTGTCTCCTTCACACAACCAAAGTCCCCGAGTTTCAACGTGAAATCTTCGCTCACCAAGATGCTGGAAAAATCAGTGTGTTTAAAATTTCTGTACAATTGAATTTCTATAAAAAAGCTATAAAAAAAGAAGTAGCTTCTTTTAAAGAAGTAGCTGCGTTAAAGAAGTAGCTGCTTTTAAAGAAGTAGCTGCTTTTAAAGAAGTAGCTGCGTTAAAGAAGTAGCTGCTTTTAAAGAAGTAGCTGCGTTAAAGAAGTAGCTGCTTTTAAAGAATTAGCTGCTTTTAGAGAAGTAGTTGCTTTTAGAGAAATAGTTGCTTTTAAAGAAGTAGCTGCTTTTAAAGAAGTAGCTGCTTTTAAAGATGTCAAATGGTTTTGAGATACCCTTTATTATAAAGTAAGAAAAGAAACGGATTACACCAGAGTTTCAGCCTTTTACAATGAAAGGGTTTGATCTGACTTTTGTGGTTTGATATCTCGATGAATTCCGTGTGTTCCATGGAGATATTCCAGAGCTCCAAATATTTGTTCGGCCCAACAAGTGACCGTTCTCATTGTGTAAACCCATCTTGAGCCAAAAACAACTAAATACAACCATTGAATAGCAATGGGCAATTTAGTTACTTTTTTCCAGAGACCCATATAGACAATATTCCATGACAATAGCGAACATTGGATGATTATCGTGGGGAAGTGCAGCCGTTCGAAATGCTCGAACGATGTTTGTATGTTTGAGGCTTGTCATTGCTGCCCATTCCTGTTCGTAATACCGTACTCGTTTCTCATCAACACAAGGTATCACCTTCACCACGTAAGGTCTGAATGGAGGTTTTTCAAGGAGTAAACGAGAAAACGAAACTAGTCTTTGCTAGATAAGGGCGGTATTTGTTTCATACTGCTACATGGTAAATCCAAGCTTAACCAACATAGAAAATCTTGCCACTACCCGCTTTGTTACCAAGTTTTCGACAGGCTTAGACAAGCTTAAACATGCTTAGACAAGCTTAAACAAGCTTAAACAAGCTTAAACAAGCCTAGACATGCTTAAACATGCTTAGACAAGCTTAAACAAGCCTAGACATGCTTAAACATGCTTAGACAAGCTTAAACAAGCTTAAACAAGCTTAAACAAGCCTAGACATGCTTAAACATGCTTAGACAAGCTTAAACAAGCTTAAACAAGCTTAAACAAGCCTAGACATGCTTAAACATGCTTAGACAAGCTTAAGCAAGCTTAAACAAGCCTAGACATGCTTAAACATGCTTAGACAAGCTTAAACAAGCTTAAACAAGCCTAGACATGCTTAAACATGCTTAGACAAGCTTAAACAAGCTTAAACAAGCTTAAACAAGCCTAGACATGCTTAAACATGCTTAGACAAGCTTAAACAAGCTTAAACAAGCCCTAGACATGCTTAAACATGCTTAGACAAGCTTAAACAAGCTTAAACAAGCTTAAACAAGCCTAGACATGCTTAAACATGCTTAGACAAGCTTAAACAAGCTTAAACAAGCTTAAACAAGCCTAGACATGCTTAAACATGCTTAGACAAGCTTAAACAAGCTTAAACAAGCCTAGACATGCTTAAACATGCTTAGACAAGCTTAAACAAGCTTAAACAAGCTTAAACAAGCCTAGACATGCTTAAACATGCTTAGACAAGCTTAAACAAGCTTAAACAAGCTTAAACAAGCCTAGACATGCTTAAACATGCTTAGACAAGCTTAAACAAGCTTAAACAAGCCTAGACATGCTTAAACATGCTTAGACAAGCTTAAACAAGCTTAAACAAGCTTAAACAAGCCTAGACATGCTTAAACATGCTTAGACAAGCTTAAACAAGCTTAAACAAGCCTAGACATGCTTAAACATGCTTAGACAAGCTTAAACAAGCTTAAACAAGCTTAAACAAGCCTAGACATGCTTAAACATGCTTAGACAAGCTTAAACAAGCTTAAACAAGCTTAAACAAGCCTAGACATGCTTAAACATGCTTAGACAAGCTTAAACAAGCCTAAACAAGCTTAAACAAGCTTAAACAAGCTTAAACAAGCCTAGACATGCTTAAACATGCTTAGACAAGCTTAAACAAGCTTAAACATGCTTAAACAAGCTTAAACAGGCTTAGACGAGCTTAGACAAGCTTAAACAAGATTAAAGCCGTTAAAAAGATTTGTCAGTTCCATTTCTATCAAAGAAACTCACGGGTTATTTTGCTCAAAAAGATGAACCATCCCAAAGCCGCCATTCCCAATCACTTTCCCTTTTGACAAGTCGATCTTCTCACCTTCATTCATTTTCTAGTTCAGTAGAATTTTCGAATCATAAAGTCAATAAAAGAATATCAGGGTAGAATAATTCCAGCAAAAGATAGTTCTAGCTCTCAACCAGCTTTTTTGAACCACATTGATCAGTTGGTCTTGAAAAAAGTCCTTTTTCTTGTCTTTTTTCTTTTCCTTTTTCTCTGGTTGAGATCAATCTACCCCTCCCCTTCAGCCCATAAATCTTTCTAATATCTCTCTTGCCAACAGAAGTCCACATCCTTGATTTCCCGAAAAGAAAAAACTAACACAAGAATTTTCTAGCTCATTCTCTTTAAGTTAGCTTTTCAGAACAATTTATTGAAAGATTTGCGCAATATAGCAAAAAATGGAATAAGATAATCTATAAGTTAACAAGTTCCGGAACTGCACACCAATATGGACACCTTCCCGAGTTATAATATCTGATACAGCTGACTAGACAACATTTTCGAAGAATTCGCTTGGTCAAATCTAAACAGATTAATTTATGCAAAAACTTTTTATTTCTTTATAAAATTGACTCATTACTTATCGGCCAACCCAATAACTGTTCTTTCTGAGACCTGAACCTTCTTAGTTCTTTCTGAGACATGATGCATCAGAGTTTTACCATTATGCCACTCATTTTCTCTTTATTCCTTCTCTCTCGTAACTCTCGTGACCTAGTAAGTCTTGGAGCGACTATACATGCAACCAAGCTAGTGTCAAACCAAAAGCTGTTGATATTCTCGAAAGAAATATGTCCAGACTTCTCCTTCTCCATTTCCTAACCACTATGGATTTTTTCAAACAGTAAGAAGAATTATCAAGGTTTCTTCTGGATCAATTGAATGCTGTCAATTGAATGCTGTCAATTGAATTCTGTCAATTGAATGCTGTCAATTGAATGCTGTCAATTGAATGCTGTCAATTGAATGCTGTCAATTGAATGCTGTCAATTGAATGCTGTCAATTGAATGCTGTCAATTGAATGCTGTCAATTGAATGCTGTCAATTGAATGCTGTCAATTGAATTCTGTCAATTTCATTGTTTAGGATTCTCTGGTTGGTCTTTTTGATCGAGAGTATCAGGAAATCGTCGTTTTTCTTTCTTTCATCAACGCCAGCGATTTCTTTCTATCGAGAAGGAAGAAATTTGAGCCAAAGTTTTATGCCGTTGAAGAATGAATTCTGTCTACTTTTCATCAAAAAACTAAAAACTAGAACAAGGTTTATTCACAAAAGAACTTCGGAACAGAAACTTTCAAACTATTTATTCCGGGACAATATAATCTTTCGGTTTATATTGTCCTATATCATTATATGTTCCCTATCAAAAGCGTAGCGTCAAAAGCGTAGCGTCAAAAGCGTAGTGTCAAAAGCGTAGTGTCAAAAGCGTAGTGTCAAAAGCGTAGTGTCAAAAGCGTAGTGTCAAAAGCGTAGTGTCAAAAGCGTAGTGTCAAAAGCGTAGCTCACTGAGAGCTAGAAAAGTATCAAAAAAACTTGGTACTTTCCTATGCAAAGTACAAAAGAGCTCAACAAGTATGAACATCATGTAAATCATCCATTGAAATTCACAATGAAATGAGTTTTTGGTGTTTTGATATAAATGCCAGAAATCAATAGCCCAAAAAACAAAAATATTTTTCGCCACCGCTTCCATTGTCTTTTTTGTATATAAGCTTATGGAAGATATTGGAAATATCGAGCAATACTTTGAACATTCGATCTACTGAATAATCGAATAACAATGTCTGCTCTACTCCATCTCCTTCTCGTCTCAACAGCTCTCTTCAACTCGTTTGCCGAGAGTGCCGGCGGTTTTATGGGTGAGTCTGGAATAGATCGCTTGCTTCTGACTAGTGAACGACTTCTCGACTTCTGACTTCTCGACTTCTGACTTCTCGACTCTATTGACTTTCTGTTGTTTAACACTTTTAGGAGCAGCACTTTCCTACACAAAATACATCCTGCTAAACTCATTGCTTGAATATCCGTCGCTGGATTATTTTAATTTTTTGCATGCAGATATTCTTATTTTTCTTTCATATGATGCAAAAAAATGATATAATTCCTTCCCTAAGCACGCAAAATCAAAAAAATCCTTCCAGAAAGTAGAGAAAACCTTGATGAAATTTGTTGTAAAGCTTAGTTTGTTCCATGGGACAATAGTCATCCAGGTGTTAGTTCCAAAGATATATTTCCTGTAGCTGAATGGTTAAAGCATTAGTCCGGATGAAGCGGTAGGTTGACGGTCCAAATCCCGATCGAGATCTTTCTTTCGGCTCTTTCAGAACTTTCGGTTCTTTCGGAACTTTCGGTTCTTTCGGTTCTTTCGGAACTTTCAGAACTTCCGGTTCTTTCAGAACTTCCGGTTCTTTCGGTTCTTCTCAAGAATAGGAGAATTCTGAAAAGAGATCATTTTTGAATAGTCAGATCTAGAAATCAGTGCATACAAATAACTTTTTTAGGTGCATCTAATAGAACTGGAGTTGATCTATTCCAAAATGACCCATTTTCAAAATTCCCCTATTCTTGGGAAGAGCTGTTCTGAAAGGGCTGGAAGAGCTGTTTAGACTTTACTTTATTCACTTCCCTTTTAGGTGTGGCGGCTGATGTGCAGGATATCGTCGAAGAGATGACTCAAGACTACAAAGTTTTGGTGACCAACACAGCCTCAAATTCGATCTATCTGAAATGTGCATCGGCTGACGATACAATCATGGGCGATGGATCGGATGATGATGGCTGGTGGACGTTGGAGAATGGACAGGTGAGGCAAGGGGAATGGGTTAGTCGAGTCTCAATATTGATCACATTTAAAGGGATTTCATTTCAGTGTATGGCTGTGGTTCTAGTTCGAAGCAGTTTTTTCTTTCTTTAGTAAATATTGTAACAAAGAAAACCGTTCAGCATCTACCAGTACAGGAATTTAAAAATCTCAGTGAGCAAACAACTCATCCATTTCTATTGACAAACATCCGTGAAATGGATGATTGGATGAGATATTCTGATTGTTGGCAAAGAAACCAGCTTATCGAAATCTACAATCTACAAAAGAGCTTCCAGAACTTTTAATAAAAACTCAGCAACAAGAAAGGCAAAATCTCAATTCAATTCTGAATAGATTCAAATTTTCTATTCAAATGTCATCAATTTGAGCTTTGAGAAATATTGCCCGTGATCTATTTATTGAATTGAAGTCTTTTGTAGGCTTTGGGCTGGACCTTCCAAAAGAACAACTTCGGAACAACATGTTTCTGGTGTTATGCGAACAATAACGGACAAGAGGCTCGCGATTCGGGCAATTGGTGGGGTACAGATTGAAGAGAATAACGTAAAGATAATCGGAGTTTACCGTAAGCTTCAAGCTATTGTCGCATAGTATTTCTCAGTAAAAATACTGTAGTCTTTTGGGGAACTTTGCTGTTATTCGTCATTTCTTAAATCGGTGAAATTTACGGATTTATATGAATGATTTGAGGCATGGAATGAAGGGAGAGGAAGAGGAAGAGGAAGAGGGAGAAGGAGAGGGAGAGGAAGAGGGAGAGGAAGAGGGAGAGGGAGAAGGAAAGGGAGAGGGAGGCAGGGAGCTAGGGAGAGGCTACCACTTAAGGTGGAGTTTAAGCCTATAGAATGGTACCCTCGTAGAGTTTGACGCGGGGAATCCGAATCCATTTTTAGTTTTTCCTGCCGACTTCTCAATCGCCAGATATTTGGCATCAAATTTTTTGCATTCGAATTTAGGGCACTCTCTAGCGAAGGAGAACACTCCGACAGTGGTGTCGAGGGAAAGCAGTGAATTCATAGGCAGACGATTATGACAAAGCAACACACAAGGCAGAAAATTGTCTCAAAAGTTGAGTTAAGAGTAAGGTTACAATCTTAAACAAGTACCTAAATTAGTTTAGCTACCCTTTTATGTACAGAACAAAGCAAACACTTGGCACTAGCCGGATACGAATCATGATCGTCTGCCTATGAATGACCATCGTTAGATGACCCGTTAGATGACCCGTTAGATGACCCGTTAGATGACCCGTTAGATGACCCGTTAGATGACCCGTTAGATAACCCGTTAGATGACCCGTTAGATGACCTGTTAGATGACCCGTTAGATGACCCGTTAGATAACCCGTTAGATGACCCGTTAGATGACCCGTTAGATGACCTGTTAGATGACCCATCGTTAGATGACCCATCGTTAGATGACCCATCGTTAGATGACCCATCGTTAGATGACCCATCGTTAGATGACCCATCGTTAGATGACCCATCGTTAGATGACCCATCGTTAGATGACCCATCGTTAGATGACCCATCGTTAGATGACCCATCGTTAGATGACCCATATTCGTTTCCAGGTACATCCATCAAGATGTGTTTGGTTGGGATGGTTGCGATGGACCGGCAAACCAAGATGGAGTCGATGAGAACTATGTGACCACTTGGGAGGTCCGAAATGATGGAATGTACTCGAATATGTGCAACGATTGTGAGGGAGGGTCCATTTGGAGCAAATATCAAGATTGGGGGAACCGCCCCATAAACACATCACATTTAAACGATTGTTTTCTGTGAATAAAGGCATGCAAATTCATTTCTGCTTTTGCAACATCATCATCAATAACGCGCAAAAACAATAAAAGATCATAGTATCTCTTACTTACAGTTCAAAATCTATATGAACGTTTACGAAGAGATTGGCTGAATGAATTTCTCTGAAAATTTGACTATTTGCCTAACTTTTTGTGCTCTATATTTTATCTATTGACACCAAGATAGGTTTCCTTTAGCTAAAGTGTCTAAATCTCATCATCGAGGTCGTCACCCTTTTTTTGACTACCCCACTTCACGCTCCTAAAAAATCTAGAAATAAGACATTTTTAAACCCGTTTTAATGTTATTTTGCAGAAAAATAAATGGCCTTTCTAATGAAACAAACCGTAGTTTAATGGATGCTCATTTGTTATTCGTGAACATAACGATTACATTCTGTGACGATTTTGTGTGATTACATTCACGACTTGTGCGAGACGGGAATTATGCTCGCTTGATCTTGATTGTGAGTTGTTTGGAGGGGTGTTGAGAGCCCGTATTCTACGCTCCGGGAAAGTTTTCGCCGGAAACTCTGCCGATCCTATTCAAAGTCAAACCCGCCTAGCTTTGGGCAAAGTTTCATCCCGATCTAATGGCTGGCCTTCAAGCAGTAGACTTTTGTTTAAAACCAGTCGCTTTCTTCTTTGATCTTCTGTGAGCCAGATTTTCCCAGAAAGTATCTACTTTACATTGCAAACTTTTGGCTGGAAATGTTTAGGGGTAGCAGGAAAATCGGGTTCACGGAAGATCAAAGAAGCTTGCGACTGGTTTTAAACAAAAGTCTACTGCTTGAAGGCCAGCCATTAGATCAGGATGAAACTTTGCCCAAAGCTAGGCTGATTCTGTCTGATTATCATATAGAAAATCTTAAAAAAAGCTATGGTTTGCTCTTTGATGAAACAAAAACGAAAAGTGTTATCAATGCTCAACCTAATCAATTTGTCTGGACTACTAGAAAATAGTGATTTGACCACGTTAGCCTCTTCTACAATATCAAACATGGCTGTGAGTCGTCCTTCAGACTGACAAATCGTTGCTTAACCAGTTGCGCCATGGCTACACTTTTAACTTTATGGAAAAGCTGTTGTTTCAAAATTTTTGTTAAATTTCAGAGACCGAACCAAATCTCGCGAAAGAGGAATGGTTTAGTCGAGTTTAAAACTCACAACAACAACATAAAAGACAATGCGTTTCTGTTTCCACCATCGAACATGTCGAATCGTGACGATAGCTGAAAAATGGAACAAATCTTGAAAAAGTTTAGTTTGACATGAGTCAAATGGTAGTTTTTTAAGGTGCTTTTAAAATCCCCACAAACCGTTTACTCTTATTCCTCCGACAGGCCTCCAACTCGGCATCAACGGTTGAGCAAGTCGGCTGAGCGATCACGGCAATGGGGCCCGGCACAGCAGCGGCACCTGTCTGAAATGAATTGAATTTTTTTGGACTCTTAAATGGTATTCGCATCATTCTCAGTCTCGTTATTCTGCTTGCTATTGTTATTTAACTTAACTTTAACTTTAACTGTTAGGTTATTTAACTTAAGAACTACTTATCGGTCAATTCATAAACCGACAAATCTTTTGGTTCTTTGTATTGCAAAATGCTGAGTCCGAATAACCACAAAATTTATGGCAATAAGAGATTTTCTACAATAATGAGTGAACAAAAATAAACACAACTATTCAAAATAATGGCAACCTACCAACTAGGAGGCAAAAGTTTGACTAGACAATATTGTGATGAGAGATTTCTGATCATAATATAGAAGACTTGTTGGCCAGAGGCCAGAGAATGGTAGCTGGATTATTAGTTTATTAGCACAAATTGCTAAAAATTTAAAGCACAAAAATTTGCACAAAAATGATAGCTATTTACATTAGTAGCAGATAGGTGCCTTTTTAACAACAATTGCCCTCAAAGCCACACCAATAAACGCATTTCTCTGAGTCACAATGATCGATGCATCCCATTGGGCAACATGGTCGAGGCTGATCACGGGCAATCACCCCATGCCATGGAGGCATCACATGAGCTTCATCTGAAATAAAAAAAATGTTTGAAGAGGTCAAGTAATGCACCTTTATATTTTTGTTACTGTAATCGATAGATGAGCCCGGTAAACTTGGCTTCATCACTTGATGAGCCGTATCCTCTGCGTCAATCATTGAATTGTACTACTGTACTACTCAAGTACTATTGTACTACTCAAGTACTATTATACTACTGTACTACTCAAGTACTATGGTACGATTGTACTACTCAAGTACTATTGTACTATTGTACTATTCAAGTACCATTGTACTACTCAAGTACTATTGTACTGCTCAAGTACTATTCAACTATTCAAGTACTATTGTACTATTCAAGTACTATTATACTACTGTACTACTCAAGTACTATTGTACTATTCAAGTAATATTATACTACTGTACTACTCAAGTACTATTGTACTACTGTACTATTCAAGTACTATTGTACGATTGTACTGTCAATGTATCTACCACTGTGGCTAGTTTTTAATTTTTTGCTCTCATATGAGTTGAAAACAATCGATAACTCACTCGTTAAGAATTATCAACCAGTTATTAACAAAAGTATTAAATAATTTTGATTGCTCAAAGCTTCCTCATTGCCAGAGTATCAGTTGGAAAGAAGCCTATATAACTTTTCCCAAAATTCACCCATTATCTCCTCTCCATCGGCCGGGGATTCCATCAGACCGAAATCCGGCAAGGCGAGGAAACAGACGAGGAGAATGAGTGAGTATTTCATCATTAGAAATAGTAATTGACTTCGGATTGATTTGAGTTATCAAATAAACGATTTGCTACTATTTATAGGGAAATCCTTGTTGAAAAAACAAATAAACAGGGAAGTAGGTTGTGAAATGCTTCTGTGAGTTTGTTGTTCAAAAATCGACAACAACAAAATAGTGATAAGCTTGCAAGGAAGTGGTAAACAAGAAACAATTTGACTTTTATCAGGTCAGTAAGCCAAAGAGTTCCGAAATTGACAAACCGATTGCCTTGAAGCACAAAAAAACTTTCAGCTGTCAGAGTCACAATGGCGACCAAGATACCTCTTCCTCTTGAACTTGAACAAAGACTTGAACAAAGACAAACCGGTAGCTCAGTGAATCAGTGACCTCACTAGCGATCGTTGTTTATTTATCACCGAGTTTTGAAGTGGGATCTAGCCTATTTTGGATCTAGCCTAAATTGTTGAGATTTTAAAATCTAAGGTTTTCGTTTTCTTACAATACCTTTTGCCTTGTCGTGCATAATAAATGTGGATATGAAGCCGTCCAAATGGTGTGTTTATCCGAAAAAGTTGCTCCCAATTGAACAGCTTCTTTCGAGTTCACGTCGGACTTCTTATGAGCGGTGTTTCCACCTTCTGAAAGAAATGAAGTTACTCATGAGTTAGATATTTACAGTGGCTTATTTGGGAATATATAATAAATATAATAAATCTAATAAATCTAATAAATCCTTTACTTTGTCAATGTTATATAATAAATTATATAATATATAAATAAATTTTTCGCTGATTCCAAATAGTCCAAATAGTCCACAAGGGAATAGTTCAAATTTAAGGTGAAGGATTAGATCGACACAGTGATAGAAAAGGTATTTCGGAGATGGGGGAATCCGATGCTGTATTTAGTTTTTTACCTAAACCCTTGGTTTCCGAGAAAAAAGCATTGCATTTTGGTACCTATGCGACTGGCCGAACCTCCAGTTTATAACGATTCTTTCCCTTACCTTCAAGCATGACCAAATGGTGCAGTTGTAAGTGGGTAGCTCTCAATCAGGCGTTTGCTATTATTTATGCCATATTTTGCGTTTGCTATTGCTATTCGAATGCTATTCGTTTGCTATTCAAACCACGGGTTCGAATCCGCTTAGCGAAAAACTTTTTGCTTTCTTTTGCAAAACATTTTAAAATACTTTTTGTGAACTTTGAAGTGTACATTGACAATTATTTTGCATATTGTAAGCGATTGTACACGTCTATTATTTAACTGAACATTTCTGCTTCCTAAAGCTTTATTTACATTAATAATGGAGATCAACAATGACAAATAAACATCAATAAACTATAAATGTTTCGCCTTGGCTAGATAGGCACAGTCATACTGGTCGAGATTTTCCTCGATAACTTCAATATTTGGTCGATGCATTAGTTTAAGCCTCAAGATTGAGTCTTTTCCAGCTTTCACAAAGAGTACAAGGGTTCTCTTCTCGATGATCTCGAAATCTGATCGGATATTTGTGAATTTCTTCATCGAATTCAAGTATCGACTGAGGTCTTTTACCAGACTGAAAAAGATAAATAAAGACCAGTGTCGGGGAAAGCCAAAAAAGACAAGAAGCCTTCTTGGCTTCTTGGCTTCTTGGCTCTTTAATTTACAAGCCAGACTTGTTCTTAACTCACATTTTCATGTTATCAGCTCGAAATTCCGTCAGCACCACCCCTCCTCCAGTCATCGAGATCTGGCAAAGATGGAGAGCACGAATAAACTGCCGAAGTGACCAAGTAGTCATCTAGAAATGAACTAGTCCTAGATATTGGTTTGTTCTACTCACGTATATTGGCAACTCATGCTCCATCAGATCTCGTCCCACCCATTTGCCACCATACATTCTCCTAGCATTGTTCCACCATTCTCCCCTCTCTATGCAACTCTCACAATCGCTTGGCATCCGAATCGAGTACTGACCGTCCATCCAGTGATAATGAAGATATCGAGGCTTTAGGTTTTGACTGAAATAAGTACTGTTAAAGACTAGAAGTCAAGAAGTAAAGTTAACGAAAGTAAAAGCTAACGAATAGGATTTCTTTTGATTAGTAATCGATTCTAAGTTGTTTTGTAATCAAGTGTTAGGTAGTAACTATAGTTAATCCCTATCCATCTCTAATCTACACTACTGGACAATGAAATATCATATTTGAAAACAAGATCGTCACTTTCGCGCGCCTGTAACTCCCTTGTCTTTATCGTATTTCTAAATATTAATATTACCATTGTGTAGCCCTTGAAAAAAGCTTTCAGAAAATGTAGAACACTAATAGTTTAAACTCAAAGACAAGGGAGTTACAGACGCGCGAAAGTGACGATCGTTTTTCAAATATGATATTTCATTGTCCAGTACTGTATTTTCCTCAATATCTTTTACAGGGTGACAAGAAATAACCCGTCCTTACATTTTTGACTACATCTTCTCAAATACTGCACCTACGTAAAAACATTTTTTCGTATCATAATTTAGGCTAATATGAGATTTTAAACCCAAAATTTCAAAGAGCTAGCTTTATTCTGTAGTTTTTTTACAGTAGAAACCATCACATTTCTAAGCATCCTTGGGTGCCGCTACTACTTTCAGAGAAAAGTGAACGGTTCTCGGTACCGAGTAAACTTAAGTACCGAGAATGGTTCACTTTTCTCCCAAAGTAGTTGCGGCATGCAAGAATGCTTAGAAATGTGATGGTTTTCACTGTGAAAAACTACAGAATGAAGCCAGCTACAGAATGAAAACCCTCTGAAATTTTCGATTTAAGATCTCATATTAGCCTAAATTATGATACGAAAAAATGTTTTTACGTAGGTGCAGTATTTGGGAAGATGTAGTCAAAAATGTAAGGACGGGTTATTTCTTGTCACCCCGTTTTCCAAAACTTACATCAACAGCTGTTGATATGTACTGCAGCCAAAAGCTCTTTCTCCTCCAAAAGATGCAACAGTCGTCTTCCGTGGTGCCTTGATATCCAACTCATAAACTTGAGCTTTCGAGATTTTTTTTAACATCTCCATTCCACCATTTTGAACAAACACATTAGCATCGAGACAATAGTATGTTTTATCTTTCTTTGCTGGTAATGGAGAAAAGTAGAAGGTCTTGATGATTGATGAACCCTTGAAATCGGCCTCATCAATTTCATTAAGCATTCGATGTTGATAGATCCCGTTTGTTCTCCAAGAAATGTAGACCTCCTTTGCGTGTTCTTTCTAAAAAATTGGAGTGAATAGCGTTGAGTCATGTGAGTCAGTGAATAGCGCTGAGTCATGTTTGTCATGTTAATCAGTGATAAGGCTAGAGTTAGTATTGGAATGGAGCTCATCATCATCCAGATATGTTCCTCAAATCTGAAAATAAGCTGCAATCGCCTACTAATCCCAAATCCTATAGGCATTTCTCTAGTTTCCAAAATTGATTGATCTTTCATGGAATCTTATTGTTAGCTATCTTATTGTTAGCTGTCTTATTGTTAGCTTGTTAACAAAATCTATGCAATCTCTACGCACCTCAAAGCTGACATAATCGAAAATCTTCGGGAATATTTGCTGATTTCCATTCAATACTCGATATAATCTCCGAGATGCTCTTTGTAATGTGAAAATATTCGTCCATGGTAGCAAGGCAGCGATTTTCACGATCAACTCATTGGGCAAATCCTCAAAGTGAAGTCGACGATTGGAAAAGGATAGATTTGTAGATGCCATTAATTTAATTGATAGTTAATATGATACAAAGAAAAATATATTATAAATCTACTTGGGAATTCGCTTAAATAACAGCCAAAAACAGCAATGGTCAGAGATTGCACAATATTGGGCAAAAAGGGGAAAAGAGAAAAGGGTGAGTCATTTTTGGAAAAAAAGAGAGTGGGTTCTGGGAAAACAACGTAAATATTGGGTTGGTGAATTGAAAACTGCTGAACTTTGAACTAAAATTTATTCAACATAAAACCATGAATTCATTCCAAATAATTTCCATTATTATTGACGACTTCTGCCCATTTTACAGGCAATTTGCGGATTCCTCTTTTGTAGTAGGATTTTGGTTTGTGTGTGAGACAAGTGTGAGACTCAAAAATGGAGGACTGGAGAGGAGGATGGAGATCCCAGTTTGAGCACTTTCTTCAAAAGAAACCCATTTTGGTGTCAATAGAAAAGTTGTAGAGAATCAAAAATTAGGCTTATAGCCAAATTTCCAAAAAGATACACTTAGTAGTTTCGCTTAAAATGCAGGTTTTGTTGCAAGTTTTGTGAAAATTCGTAAATTTGGGATTTCTTGAAAAACCAGTTTTTAAATCGTTCTGAAAATTTGGATATAGGCTTGATTTTTGATTCTCTACAACTTTTCCATTGACACCAAAATGGGTTTCTTTTGAAGAAAGTGCTCAAAGTGTCACATATGACAATAGCCCGCAGTTTTCAATTCACCAACCCAATAAATTAAAAATAATAATTAAAAAAGTAATTAAACAAATTGGGTTTAATTTCATTTTACTTTAAATCAATTTAAAGGAATTCTCTCTTGAAATAATAAAATTCTGACGAGAGATGCCTTTCGGACCGTCGTCCACCGTACACTTTGCCTTTCAGACGTTTCCGCGCCAAACGTCGGAAACTACCGTAACCCGACGCAATAAAAAGACCCCGCCACAAAGAATTTTTCAGTCTTTCGTCGTGTTTTATTTTTTCAGTCTTTTTTTTTCTTTTTTTCCATTGACACCAAAATGGGTTTCTTTTGAAGAAAGTGCTCAAACTGTCACATATGACAATAGCCCGCAGTTTTCAATTCACCAACCCAATAGAATCTATGTAATGTCAAGAAATTTACCCTGAAAGAGATATAGAAAACTAAAGCGTAGTCAGTAGTTTCCTCACTCTACAGTTTAGCTCTACAGCTCTATTTTTTACAGAATTTTCACAAAACTTGCATTTTAAGCAAAACTACTAAGGGTATCATTTTGGAAATTTGGCTCTAAGCCTAATTTTTGATTCTCTACAACTTTTCCATTGAGACCAAAATGGGTCTTTTGAAGAAAGTGCCCAAACGGCGACATATTCCAATAGCTCGCAGTTTTCAATTCACCGACCCAATAAGTTTTTAATGGAAAAATAAGGAAGAAGTATTCATACAGGTAAACTGTTTTCACTGATTGTGAACTACTTGACAAAAAGATCTACGGAAAAAGATTTTTGCTCATAATGGGGCGGAGGATATTTACAGGATGTCCAAAAAGAAAATGAGTTTTAACATGCATTTCCAGAAAGGTTCTGGTGGCTAGAGGTGGTCGTTGTGGTGCCAAATTGAATGTTTTGGGCACACAATCTTTTCATATTCTTTTCACTTTTTCCCAATTTCATGACTGAAACTTTTGAGCCACCATGTCCACCACCACCATTGGGGTTTCACCATAAAGTGAAGACTTTTCACTGATTGGATAAGTATTCTTTAAGGCAATGGACATGGGCCACGAGTCGAGTCGAGTCGAGAACCGTTATTCGACTCGTCTCGAAACCTTTTCTGATTCATCCAAACAATCAGAGGAGAAACAATCTCTCCTCTTTGAATCGGCTAGAAAAGGATTGCCTTTTCCCCCAGGCAAAGATCAAAAAGAGGTTTTCAACAATGAAAAAAGCAAGAAGGATGTCCATTTAGAGAAAAGATAATTTGATTGATTGGTTCATCTTTTTTCGCTTTTGAAATAGGTTTACTAAGTTTTCTACGTAAAATTTGATTACGAGCAATCAGCTCTATATACTTCTCCTATGACACATGGGCGATTGAAGGCATCACTTTTTTCGAGTGCACTAGTTCACAGGTTTTAGTTGGAAAAAAAAAGCAAAAAGCTTTTCGACAACGGAACGATTCCAACCTTCAATCTTCTGCTCCGTAGGCAGACGCGTTATCCATTGCGCCACGCGGCCACGTTTTGCGTGAAGGGAAAATGGATTGACATTTGGGGTGAGCAATGACACTTGCCATTTAGATTTAGACAATCTTAACACCTAAAGATAACCATTGACATTTTGGTCTATTCCTTATCCTTGTGCTTATTAAGTATGCACACCCATCAATACAACTGCTTTGTGTGGCACAATGGATGACGCGTCTGCCTACGGAGCAGAGGATTGAAGGTTCGTGTTCTGCCGTCGTCGAATCCTTTTGCTTTCCTTGCTAAAATAACCTGTTTAGGGAAAATGGTTGCCTCCTCAAGTAGATATGGGCTGTTTGTTTGTGTGGAAATTGCTGTGTTAAACAGAGGAGTGGGTAGAAGTTGGATTTAAGTTTTAGCATTGAGTCAGTTCAGCCACTCTTTAAAAATTTATCAAACCTTTGATACACTAGAGGGTTGAAAAGAAACCTCTGTAATCAATAACCTTGTCTAGTGGGCAATTTCTGGAGAAGCGCCATATCGGTCTGCTCATGCGTCGATGTGCCCTCCTTCCAATGGGTGAAGTGAGCAGTCGAGCCTTTTCTGAAATCGAGTGTTAAAAGTAATTTTAGAAAACTATAACTAATCAAAATTCGATAGAGTGCTGATTTTAGAACACTAATAGCACAGACGAATCAAATAATTGTTGCTATTTAGTGTATATGTTTCAACGATTATTATAACTCGTCAATAGGGTCGATATTTTTATTTCTCTTGCTATGTATTGTATATTTGTATATAAAAGGTTTGCCAATAGAAAATAAAAAGTTTTATTGACTGTGTCAACAAAAGTGACAGTTTCAACGAAACGCAAAAACATTGCTCCCGGTGAGGCTCGAACTCACGACCTTCAGATTATGAGACTGACGCGCTGCCTACTGCGCTACGGAAGCACGAGTGCACTGACAGGAAAGGGGTTACTAGTCAGCCACCAAAAGATAAACTTGTTGGTTCTGTTTTCACATTTTACGACGGCTTTTATTGAAGTTTTAGATTGAATAATTTAGAAATAGTTATGCTTCTGAAATTACAGGTTCTGCAGTCTACCAGCTGCTTTTTTTTGAGCTGAATTGTACTCATAAAGAGTGGAAGCAACAATGGGAAAGTCGTTATTGTAGTGTAGTATACATGCTTTCGAAAATGTTGATCTAAACGTTATCTCCAACGGTCTCTACATTCCTGAGTCAACTTATACGTTAATTCCATCAAATTCAGCTATTGTGATATGAATGGAATGTTCAATGCGAAGTTACAGGGTTTAAAAATTATTGACCGCCCCTATAAGCCAAGGCTTATAGGGGCGGTCAATAATTTTCGTTTCATTTTCTTGAAAGCTTGTCCAGAAATATAAATTTCATTGTAAAACAATGAAAATAATCCACAAAAACAAAAAAAAAAGTTAATGAAGCTCGGTTTGACCTTCTTTTGCTCGAATGCACTTATGAAGTAGTCACTTGGAAAAAAAGTAGGCCAAAAAAAGGAAATCTTCCTCAAAGTCGCCTCAATCTTTCGATTAAAACTGATATGAAAATTGCTTCAAACCTTTGTTTAAGTGATATTTTACTTAAAAAAAAAGATCATCCTTGGCTTGTTTTTCTGAAAAGCTTCATATTTTGAGACCAATCCATACGTCTTCCATTAGGATGGGGCGCACGCTCATACCGCTTGGATTGTGCAACCCTGAGTGGGCAACCTTTTCAACTTTCTAGCCTCTGCAGAAGTTTTATTTTGCTACCATAAAACAAAGAACAATTAAAAGAACACTCAAAGAATCTTTACAAAAACGTGGGTTTGCTATTTTCAGACTACAGTATACAGTGAAATTTGGGCAACAAATCTACACTATTTTTTCGTCACCACCCAGACCGCAGTACTATTAGTGAGGCAGTACTAATAAAGAGAATACGGTATTAACCGTAATCCCAACAAAAACTGTACTACTATACTTTTAGTAAGTCTAATGCATTTTGTTACTTTCAATCAATAATGGTTATTATAGCTTAAAGCATTGAGCTATTTAGTTTACAATAGCTGGACCTAGTTTCTAGAGTAGGTTACAGTACTCATTAACTTTCAGCTTTCAGATAATTTTTATTATCTAATCAATGTTCCAGTTCTGAAAAGTTCAATAAATGAAAAAGATTCATTGGAATATTTGATAATTTTTTATGGCTAATAAGGCAGCTAATAACAGAAACTATTGATCGATGAAATGTCACATTTCGTTTGAAACTCAAAAATTTATCGAACAGGTGAAAAGAAAACGAAGAAACAAAGATATTTTGTAAAAAATGTTATAAAATTTTGCCCAATTTACTTTATAATCCTCGGGCAATTTGATTCGTTTCACTTTGTTTGTGCATTCACAGTTTACGTTCTCGCCACGTTGAAACACGTTTCTCACCTTCATGATCACACATGGAACTTTTGAGCCTTTATGGTCACCAACGCCATATGGACCACCAACATTGGGGTTTCACCATAAAGTGAAGACTACTGACATCGTGGATTAGATAAGTTCACAGGTTTTCGTTAGAAAACAAAAAAATGCCTTGACCACGGAAGGCTTCGAACCTCGAACCCATGGGCTCCGTAGGCGATCTGCGAGAGCATCCATCTGCGAGACGCGCTATCCATTGCGCCAAGTGGTCACGTTTTGCGTGGAGGCAAAATGGATTGACATTTGGGGGTGTCACTTCACTCAATGACAGTTCACTCACTCAATGACGAGTGAAAATGGGTTGGCATTTGGGGGCAAGCAATGACACTTCCATTTAGACCAATGGATGAAGTGAGCAGTCGAGGCTTTTCGGATTTTGAGTGTTAAAAGTAAAAAACTATTAGGTTGATGCAAAAGTCTTTTTCATTTTTTTCGTACTTCCGTTAAAAAGTAACAAATGCACCAATTGAACAACGGTTTATTGCATTCGAAAGGCCAATTATTTTTCTGCAAAATGACATTAAAACGAGTTTAAAATGTCTTCTTCTAGATTTTTTTGTGAGCCTGAAGTCGGGTAGCCAAAAAAGGCGACGGCTCGATGATGCATTTTAGACGCTTTAGCTAAGGAAACCAATCTTGATGTTAATAAATAAAAGATAGAGCACAAAAAGTTAGATATTTTTTTCAGATTTTCAGAGAAATTGATTCAGCCAATTTCTTTATAGAGGTTTTTATAGATTTTTATGAAAAACCCGTTTTCACTCTCGAATTTGCTTGAAAGTGAACCCAAATTGACTTAAAAAGATGGGAAATTGAACAATAAACACTTTTCATTCAGAGCAAACCATAGGTTAATTGATGACTTTGTTATTTTTCAAAAGAAGTACGAAAAAAATGAAAAAGACTTTTGCATCAACCTAATATAACTAATCAAAATTCGATAGAGTGCTGATTTTAGAACACTAATAACACAGACGAATCAAATAATTGTTGCTATTTAGTGTATATGTTTCAACAATTATTATAACTCGTCAATAGGGTCGATATTTTTATTTCTCTTGCTATGTATTGTATATTTGTATATAAAAGGTTTGCCGATAAAGAAATAAAAGGTTTTATTGACTGTGTCAACAAAAATGACAGTTTCAACGAAACGCAAAAACATTGCTCCCGGTGAGGCTCGAACTCACGACCTTCAGATTATGAGACTGACGCGCTGCCTACTGCGCTACGGAAGCACGAGTGCACTGACAGGAAAGGGGTTACTAGTCAGCCACCAAAAGATAAACTTGTTGGTTCTGTTTTCACATTTTACAATGACTTTTATTGAAGTTTTACAATAACTAATTTAGAAATAGTGATGTTTATGAAATGTCAAGTACTGCAGTCTATCAGCTGAATTTAAAGTGAAAATAACAGGGAAAAAGCCATTGTATTGTAATGTAATCTACCTGCTTTCTAAAATCTTGGCTCCAAAATTTGTCGCGAACGGTCTCTACATTCCTGAGTCAATTTATACGTTAATTCCATCAACTCCAACTGTGTGAAAACTTTATGTTCTTTAAAGGGACTCTATTTGCTTATGAGTACTTTAAACCTAAAGTCTTTGAATTGATGTCTTTTGCTGTCAAGCTTGGCCTGATCAATGCAGCCTGAAGAGTGCATCCCAAATTAATGATCTTAAGGTCAATGATTCGACTTTATTGGCTAGAAAACCAAGAATATTAATTTTCAATTGCTAAAAGTCTGGTAGTAAGCTTTCAACTGAGTTTTTAATGGGGAAATGCTAACAGTTTTAGTCTAATGCCGGATCTATACAAAAACGTGGGTTTGATGTTTTCAGTCTACAGTATACAACTAATTTGGCAACTAAGAAATTTGGGCAACAAGCCTACAGTACAGGATGGCTGAAAAGTTCTGTACACATTACAAAAATTGACGTTACAGTAAGAAATTGTGAAAATTACACAAAATGCAACCCAAATTTAGAAAATTCGACTGTTTTTTACCCCATATATGCTTGTTTTTCAAGGGATCTACATTTTAGCTAAGTTTTACTACATTAAGTTCATTTTCCAGCTTTGTTTTAAATGTTCTCTATCTTTCCTTCAACCCGACAAATTCGAACACCTCATGCCCGGGAATCTATGGAAAAGTGGCTAGACTTGATACTATCCGACTTTGATCACAGCTAGAGCTAAAAGAATTGCTAAAATTTAAAAAGAATGAAATTGAAAGAAACTAGAAGAATTTTGATTACAAATAGAGTTTAGATAAAACAGCCCAAGTGTACAATAATTGCTCAACCGAGGGAATCGTTGATCTCGACTCGGTTGGAGAAGGATTCTATGGGGAATGGGTGGGGGAAAAAGCTGACGTATCCAGTACAAAAAAGGGTATTAAAGTATATGTATTAAATGTGACAAAAGGTTAAAGATTTATTCATCTTTTTATAATATGTGAATTGAATCAATTGGCAGCAGAAACCTGGACCAGAGAGCCAAATGGTGACACCTTGAAGTAGCCTGGAACCGGTTGTCATTTTATAATATCAATGATCTACTAATAAATCTAATGAATTACCAAGTTTATTTAGTCGAATTAGTACAATGAACCGCAAGAATATTCTCTGTACAGCTTCTCGATATGGTTTATAAAGAGAGAGCATGGAAATCGTGTTGACCACTCCGTGTAACGATAGGATGAGGGTCATCAATGGGAAATATTCTAGAGAACGGTTATTATATATTGTTTTTCAAACAAGTATTGATTTTATATGATTTTATGCATACTCGTAATTTGAGAGTTAATTGCTAGCTTTGGCCAGGCGGCGAAAGCTGTTAGAGGAGTAAAGCTGAGCAGCACCGGCACAGTGACCTGAAAGAAACTAAGAATATTTAATGAATTTTATTCTCCTTGAAATTAATCATCATCTACATTGTCAATAGCTGTATTTCGGTGCCAAAAAGCTGTAACTGACAAGAAAGGTCAACTGGCTGAGCCGGCCAAACGCTATGCATTCGACGCGCAATTTTATGCTGATTCCCAATTTGTATCCCTTTTTTGCTAAATGACAATCTGCCAGGAGTTATAAGCGTCTAAAGTTTTGTTAGGACTCTGAAAATCTGGTCATTTGAGCCTTAGCGGCCTCGTTGCTTACTCGTTTCAGTGCAACCGTGGCCTAGTGGCACCGGGTTCGTCTTCAGAGCGACACCTCACAAGTTCGATCCCCATTCATACCTTTACAATCGGGATTAAAAACTTTAAAGCAGATTTCAATATGCTAAATGATGTGCCATAGAATGCGATTGTGCGCACGTTCGATCCTTCACAGTGGGGATCGAACTTGCGAGGCCTAAATGGTCCTAAATATTCGGGAACCAATCTAAACTGAGAAAAAGTGATGTCGTTAATCAACGGAAATCACTATATTTTCCAAAATACACTTAATGGCATTTAGTCAACTTTTGCCCCAAAAACCATTCTTCTTCGGGATCACTATCAGACCTCCCATAGTCTCAAGATTATCTACCTGTATAATCAAAGCGTGAATGAGCTTTTTCTCTTCCTTGATCAAGCGCATCTCCATGATGCTAGCCTGTTGGCGTAGCGAGTAGAAACAACCAAAAGAAAAGCCTAGAAAAAATAGAATTTTTTTTTAAAACTGTAAATAGTCTTTTCCACTCACCAAACATCATTCCGGCAGTGATTAGCATGAATGGTATGACAGTCAAGAGAGCCGTGGACACACTATTCGGTGGAATCGCATCGAATGTGTCGAGGTTGATAAATTGGCCAAGTTCTGGGTAGTTCTAAATTCTACTTTAACAAAGACCAAATCTATAATAATTAAGCTAACTTCTCGATAGTATTCTCTCGTTTTGTTCCCATTTGTCTCATGAATCGCATAGAAAAATCCGCTGATTTGCAAATAGGAAGAAAGTGACATCACAATGAAGAAAACGTGAAGAAATCTGAAAGTGTGACAAAGTGAAACAAAAACAAAGCTCTAGCCTACCTAGTCGAACATTTTAACGCGTGCCCAACGGGGAGGATGAGCTGAAATCGGGCAAAGAACAAACAAACAGAGGCAGTTTGAGTATGGCCAATAGCTGATAAGCAAAGAACCTGAAATGAGCAGAACAACTATTTTGTGGGTTTTTAAAGATTTTTACAAACACTCGAATAGTTTTTCTGTTCATTTCAGGTCTCGAAAAGTCTAAAAGTAAGACTTCTCTCGAAGTCTTTTCTTTTCTCTAAAAATAGCACTTTTTGATTTGAAATCAATTTAAAAAATTAAAGATATTGAGTTATTGGAATATGAGAGATCAAAAAAACGTTGAGATTAAGTTTTAAATGAATATCTTCAAACAGTTCTTGAAACAAGCAGCTAAATAAGCTTTGAATAAGTGCAGATCGTACCTAAGTTCTCTGCTTAAGTTGAAAAATTATTGTTTCTACTGGTGAGAAGATTAAAAATATTTAGTTCTAATCAAGAATTTAAAAGAATCAAAGCTATTCTGCAAGTGACAGCGAACTTTTTGAATGTACTCTTGGATATTCTTTATTTTTACGCTTTTTCTAAGCGAGTACACTTTAAAAGATGATAAAAAATTCTACGAACTTATCGGCTAGCCTAAAACGTTGAACTGCTTTCTGTCTTTCTTTCTTTATTATCTTATTGATTCGATGATTTGATTGTTTTTTAGGTATGAAGTCTAAGAAAAAGCTGCATCCAGCCATTATTACTCTTGATTAGCAAGGAAAAACAAAGATATCTCGAATCTTGCAGGAAAAGAGACAGCATTTTTTTTCGTGCTTTGAAGCGTCTCAAAGAAAAGGGGTTTAATGAAGATCGTAAGGGACAAGGTCCACCAAAAACTGCCAACAATTCAACAAATCGAAAATTTTTGATTGACTTAAGAGGAAGCCCAGCTCCTCAAAGAATCCTGTTCAAAAAATGGCCAAATCTATTGGTATTGGAAAAAGTTCAGTTCCACAATGTCCATACAAACCGAATGTATTTCTGAAGAGATTCCTAGATGATGCATCCATCCCATCGGAATTCCCCCAAAAATTGGAAATAGAAGAAATGGGGCAGCGGCGTCGGCCATCAAATGGTCACAAAGGGTTGAGGCGAACTGAAACAATAAGAGGAAGATTTTCCTAGTATATCTGAACATCTATAGTAGTATGAAAATGATCAAAGCTCATAGTCAATACAGTTATTACCTGCAAGTTGATCAATCCATGTGAATACTCTCTCATTTCCTTGGGTGAATATCTAATGATCACAAAAAAGCCAAAGAGATTGAGTGCTGTACCAAAAACTGAAAAATAGACAATAATGGAATGTCCACTTTTAATGTATTACATTTTGAAATCTTCTACTTTGCTTTCTTATTTGAAAAATTATCAAAGCTTGTAGGACAAAAACAATATACCAAAAAATCAACAAGTGGATCAAGAAAAATCCTGGCTACATCTCTGATTCTTACCAGAAATCGTCCAAATAATCGGATATGCCCAATCTCCAATATGAACATTTAACTCTTCAACCATTGAGATCAATGGGATATCGAAAAACCGAAAATCTGCTATCTTACATTTGTTTGTTTCTCTTTTACGGTTGCAGGTGATTTTCAAATTGCATATTGCTTTCATTCTGGGAATTGGGAGTTTGTGATTGGTCGAATTTTTAATAAAGCAGAAGAAAACGGAATTTAATCATCAAGAAAACTGGCAAAAAACCAACTGGTTTGCTCTGCACAAAAGCATAATATTAGGGTGAACCAAAAGTTTTCTATTTTTTTTTCTCTTTAAGTTTGAACAATTTTTTAAAGCTAATAAATAAAGCTAATAATAAGAAAAAATAGAAAACTTTTGGTTCACCCTAATAAATGAGAGATGAAGAGCACTTTGGAGAAGTTGATGGTCAACTTTAAAATGAAAGTCTGTGGGTAAACTATAAAATTTATGGCGAAATCAATGATCTAATCTTACCGTGAAAGACAAAAAACAATCAATAAGACAAAAATGAAGACAAAAGTTTCAAATTTCCATGCTAAATTACAAAAATCGCCTATACAACAATAGAGATCATCTATTGGTTCGTCGGAATCAATTTTGAAGGCACCAGATGACTGAAAAAGCTTCAATTTAAGCTAACTAATAGACTTTTTCGTAATTTGAGTAGACCAGAGTCAAAATTGCTCGCCTGACATTGTTCTTGGGCTATTTGAATGGATTTCCTACGTTCCTAGTCAAGAACCGTGTGTGTCTCAAAGTCCCATTTTTCGTGTTTGTTGCAGAAGATTTGATATGACGCGGCTAAGCCGAAATCATTCAAAACCAAAGGAAAACTTTGACCCTTTGATCGATGGAATTAGAGTCAGTTTTCGTGTTTTAGTACATTTAGTGAGTATATATAATATAAATTTATATAAGAGAATATAAAATGATCTTGTAGAATCGATCCTTTGGGATAAATGTGAGGTTCAAGCCGGCACATCCATTGCGACAATCCGTGGAGTCTGAAATTTCGTTTTTTAGGTGGGCTCGCTTTTTGCTAACTCATTTTTACTATCAATTTAGCATCCTAGGATACTTATTAGCCATGGATTCCGACTTTTGACGGTTCATGTACTTGGTATTACTAATATTACAGTAAGCCAAGACTAGTTCACCTACATTCGATCTTGTTTCCGTATCCATAGTATTCATAATCGCCACCACTTGAGCGGTTCTCCTCGGCCCAGCTGGAGCCACTTTTTGCTTTGAACATTTCAAATAGATCAACCACAGCTCGCACCAGGAAATTAGACCACTAAACAGAGGATAAACAGCTTATGGATGAACAGATAATGGATAAACAGCTTATGGATGAACAGATAATGGATAAACAGCTTTGGAAAAAACATGCTACAATGGATTACAATCCTATTCGATTTCCAAGTCATCCATTTGTCTACAACATTAGAATAGACACCGAAAATCTCTATTCAAGTATTATTGAACTGGATAGCCTAACGCAGTTTAGCATTTAGCATTTAGTTTAGTGAGTTTCGTAAAGCTGTTCACTAACGAGTAACTCGCAAGTACAGGGTGCGCCATAATTGCGCGCAACAGGGTATCACGTGCTTTCAAGGACAATAACTTGTTGATTTCAGCTTGATTTCTGTTTTTTTTGTGTGTTTTTACTATATTTGGAATATAATTGAAACTTTTTTCATATAAAATTTGTTGCTTTTTTTAGAATGGCTGGAAAATCCCCCATCGACAATCGACCAGCGAATTGCCTCGGCGCCGGAGATTCATAAGCGTCTTAAAGTCGACAGAAGTGTCATTTTCCGCATTATTCAACACTATGAAGCTACGGGAACAATTGCTGATGCACCAAGAAGCGGTAGACGCCCAACTGTCGTCACAAAGACAGACATCAAGCGAGTGAGGGACCGAATTCGGAAGAAGCCAAACCAGTCGACAAGGCAAAAGGCAAAGAAGATGGCGATTTCAAGCACCTCATTGCGCCGAATCTTTAAAAATAAGCTCAAACTTACTGCTTACAAGAAAAACAAGGCTCAACTTCATTTGAATGCCGCTAAAAACAAGCGAACATTGCGAGCAGATCAGTTATTGATGCGTTTCAATGGAATCGTCATCATCACAATATGTTCACAGACGAAAAAATATTTACCGTTTAAGGCCTTCTTCACAAGCAAAATGATCGAGTTGGGGCCAAATCTCAACTAGCCAAATCTCAGCCAAACCCCAAATCTCCACTCTGCTACGGTTTCTTGAAGTGCACATCCAACTTCTGTGAGGCTTTTTGGCGGCATCACTGCAACAGGAAAGACTTCTCTATTTGTTCCCCAAGGCGCGAACATCAGTTCCGATAACTACCTGGCTCTTCTCAAGGATGAACTCTTGCCCTGGGCTCGTAAACATTTTGGAAATCACATTTGGACTTCTCAGCAAGATGGTGACTGGCCCACAATTCCAAGAAAGTCCAGAAAGTTTTGGTTTTTGAAAACAACTTCCCGGACATCATTTCTTTTTCTGAGTGGCAACCTAGCTCTCCAGACCTCAACTCAATGGATTTTTTTAAAGTGTGTTCGATTCTCGAAGCCAAATCTTGTTCAAAGCCCCACAAAAACATCGAAAACTTGAAGAAATCACTTTAGAGAGCTGGATCCAGCCCTTTGGTCGCCACCGTTGACGCCTTCCTGAAACGCCTGCGAGCTGATGCTTATCTGTTCGGATAGTCTAGCCTTTCCAGAAAATTCTAGCGCCTCATAAAAGTTATAAGCCTTTTTATTTTATTTGTCATATGTTTCTTTTGTCATTTTGTCACTTGTCTCCTTCTAACCTTTTCTTTTTCGTCTTCTTCATCGCCTCGAGTTCCCATTGATTTCGATAGCTCTCAAAATAGATATCTTTTGCCCTTCCTTCTAGCGAAATCAATCGACTCGTACTCGATATCCGACCATTCTCACTCTGTACAACTATCCAATAGATCAACCACGGAGCCACAACGACGAAATACATAGGAACCTGAGGCTTGTTAGATTTGTTTTTCCACAGTTTACTTACAAAAGTGAACCCGGACCCGGCAGCGTAGGAAACCTCATCTAGGATATTGATGAATATTGTGCGGTAAGCTGAGCCGAGAAGTGGGAAAGCGGAGAAAGAAATGGCATGAAGAACACTAAAGTTTTAAGAGATATAGAATTAGATGGTTTTACTAGAAAGCTAGTTTTTTTTTACGGTAGCGATTAGTTCTAGTAATTCGTGCAGCTCTTTCCTTGAATCGTGGTCTTTTCAAAGTTTCATGGTCTTTTAAAGGTTTCGTGGTCTTTTCAAATTTCACAAGACCACGAAACGGACCTTTTTTGACAAAAGACCACGAAACTTTTAAAAGACCACGAAACTTTTAAAAGACCACGATTCAGGAAAAGAGCCACTAGTGCTTTAGCAATCAATAATTGTAAAGCCTACAGTTATTCTACAGCCTACATTCTTGGGCTAGGCTAGAGATACCTTGGTGGTCACTTTGAAAAAGGACGAGCAAAGCACATATTATATTAAACAGGATTTTCAGTACTATTAGAGAGAATACGGTCATAACCGTAATCCCAACAAAAACCGTACTACTATACTTTTAGTAAGTGATGGCCGACGCCGCGGCGTCGGCCATCAAATGGTCACAAAGGGTTGAGGCGAACTGAAACAATAAGGGGAAGATTTTCCTAGTATATCTGAACATCTATAGTAGTATGAAAATGATCAAAGCTCATAGTAAATACAGCTATTACCTGCAAGTTGATCAATCCATGTGAATACTCTCTCATTTCCTTGGGTGAATATCTAATGATCACAAAAAAGCCAAAGAGATTGAGTGCTGTACCAAAAGCTGAAAAATGAACAATAATGTTCGCTTTGAATGTATTATATTTTGGAATCTTCTACAAGCTTTGATATTTGGAAAAAATATCAAAGTTCGTAGTACAATAACAATATACCAAAAAATCAACAAGTGAATCAAGAAAAATCCTGACTACAGCTCTGATTTTTACCAGAAATTGTCCAAATAATCGGATAAGCCCAATCTCCAATATGAACATTTAACTCTTCAACCATTGAGATCAATGAGATATCGAAAAACCGAAAATCTGCTATCTTGCATTTATTTGTTTCTCTTTTACGGTTGCAGGTGATTTTCAAATTGCATATTGCTTTCATTCTGGGAATTGGGAGTTTGTGATTGGTCGAATTTTTAATAAAGCAGAAGAAAACGGAATTTAATCATCAAGAAAACTGGCAAAAAACCAACTGGTTTGCTCTGCATAAAAGCATAACAAATGAGAGATGAAGAGCACTTTGGAGAAGTTGATGGTCAACTTTAAAATGACCAGCAACTTTAAAATGAAAGTCTGTGCTTAAACTATCAAATTTATCGAGAAATCAATGATCTTATCTTACCATCGAATATAAAAAAACAGTCAATAAGACAAAAATGAAGACAAAAGTTTCAAATTTCCATGCTGAATTGCAAAAATCGCCTTTACAACAATAGAGGGCATCTCTAGGATCGTCGGAGTCAATTTTGAAGGCATCCGATGATTGAAAAAGTTTTAATTTAAGTTAACTAAAAGACTTTTTAGTAATATTAGTGGACCAGAGTAAAAATTGCTCGCCTGACATTGTTCTTGGGGTATTGTTCTTGGGGTATTTGGATGGATTTCCTACATTAACACCCCCACTCGGCTTGGAGCCAGTTGCCGTACTGAAAAGGGAGAAGCGGGTGATGGATGAGAAGGGGGTGCAAGGATATCAAATTTAACTTTTTAAGCTTACCAAATTAAGGATTTGATGACATTTAGAGGTGGATAGTTGTTGCTCACTCGTTTGAAGATTGAAGATCAGCTCAAAAGTGACCCCATTGGGCGGGGGGCACATCCGCCGCGAAAATGTGTTTTCTATAGAATTTTCACGTTTCAATAGCCATTTGACGCAGAAAAATGAGATGAATCCAAAAATAAGAGAATTTTTTGAAATCCCTC